GTATAGCTCATGGCTTCACTAAGTTACGCAAGCCCCTTTGCCACGACAAGGCAGTGATCCATGAAGGGGTTCTCAAGTAATAACAATACATTAAACCCAGACAACACTTGTGAAGAAATGCCTTGTTTCTTCTGTGCAGCTTTTAGAAAGAAAGAGAATGACTGGGGGCTTCATAGAAAAATGCATCGTTCTCTGTATCTAAAGGTCTTCACCATTAGATTCATTAAATGACTGTAGGGCACTATCCTTGCAATCATATTCAATGTCTTGATTACATCATGGATTTACTGCTCCACATATTGGGGTCCCTGTGTCCTTTATGGAAGTGACACTCCGCATGAACATAACAGTCTTTTTCCCTGATGAGATTCCAAGCATGTCCACAACAGGGTGCTTTTTCTCACTCACCAAGTTTTCAAGTTTTTCCTGTTCCACAGTCTACCTTTTTCCTATACATAGTAAAATATGGTTCTGTGAGTCAAATCCCCATCCCCCGTGCAGTTCTCTGTCCAAACTGCTGCACGTAGCACTGTATTGAACAAAGTTAAGGCAATATACTATTTAAGTGTCTTCATGATTTATTTTTCTAAATTTGTATACTGCTGCATTTTCACTGGACTCCTGGCAGTTTATGTCACCAAAGATCACTATACATGATCTCCCCATACAGGCCAGAATAACCAGTCCTGCATTATAGAATCATTGAGATATTGAGCAATCCAAGCTTGGGACCAACACCAACATTTAGTACAACTCACTGTTATTAATTAGATTATTATTTATTAGTAATAACAAATAATTAGTATCACCCATTCTCTCATACAAAGTCTTCTCTCAGGGTATGGTAAATTTTTTCAGAGATCAGCGCTTTGGCCATGCATCTCTGGCCTCAAAAGTCTTCTTCAATTTAGCAATCTTTGAGATTTGTTCAGCTGCTTTTTATATCAAAGCTTTTCTGTAGCTTTTAACAAATTCTTTAGCTTACAGACATTGGTTTATAGGCCTCAGTGTTCTTGTTATCTCCTGTTTGGCAGCCTATAGTCATTTGACTAGCAGCTGTTGTGGACAAGGAAAAGGCAAAACAGATGGAGAATGCAATATGTTGGGAATGGTTTGCAGATTAATGGTTGCAACTGGTAACTTTGTGTGTCTGAAATTGAGGAAGCAGCCCTGTCATATGCTCCATGCAAGCCACTGAACATTAATAAATTCCTTACCATTCAAACTTGCTTACTTTTTTATTGAGAGCTACGACTTCCAAATTTAGCCTCTTATTAAAATATTTAATCTACAGTGGAAACAGATAATGTTTGGCCTTCCAGATGCTGCCAAACACTTTACTCTACTCTAGAATGCATGGGCAGTGGTGAGAAATGGTATCACTCACCCAACCAGCCAACCATTTACCTCAGTGTTGGCCAGGTTTGGACAACACTGATTTTACCTATTTCTGCTCTCATTTTTAAAAAGTAATTTGCAGTTCTAAATTAGTGACAGGTACAGTAATTGGCCTGCGTTTTACCTATTAGTTCTTATTTAACTTGTTGAAAAACAACTTACTCCTGAAACTTCTTTAAAAACTATCAAGGAATGTGCATGAATATCTTGTCTTTCACAGTACTATAATCTTCAAAGTGTCTACAGCTTCCTTGGCTTCTCAAGCTTCAATTAAATCTGACTTTATATAAAATAACATATTACATTCCTTTGAGCTAACCATTTTCTTTTCAGATGGACATATCAGGGAGTATGAATGATTTTTGGCACTATGAGAGATTAGACTGCAATTAGATCTTTATACAAAACCTTTCTACAAAGCCTACTATCCTTAAATCAAAAACTTTTCTTCTCACTCTGGTTTAAATAGAAGACATGGATGGAAAGAAACTGTTTTTCCATCCTCTGTATTTCTCCCAGCTATTTTGGAGCCTCCACAGAGAACCCATTCAGAAATAATGGCTAAGAAGTAGAAGAGGCCGCCTTGTGAAATGTTGTGTCATCCTGATAATATTTCAACATTTCTGGACGTTAGGGAAACATTACTAACCCAAGGCCTTTGACCACATTCTATAATATATTGACCTGAGAGTAAAACTGATGATTAAGCTGACATTGCTAATAGGTTACTTATGAATGGTCTATCCAAATTCCATGTGGGGTGCATATATTTTTATGCATATGCCATCACTGTTTGGCAAGTAAGGAGAGTCTATTCAGAAAATTTTGATAATAATATGCTATTTGGAAATGATCCACTGTCAATGTACCACATTTTCCATCTTGTGTAAGTTCCGAGGGATGCCACTTCTTTAAAACAAAGATGAAGCCATCTAAAGTCTTGCCTTGCAAGCAACATTGAATGGGTACAGAAAGGAATATGTGCAACAGCTTGAAACAGCTTTCTCATCAAAATTCTTTTTTAATAGGCAACCAAGAAGTTTCTGGGACTTACTAGAATCAATCTTCAAACTGATTTTTTGCTGATGTGGTGAAACCTATACTTAGTATTACTAAAAGAGAAAGAATTAAGAAAGGAATTAAGATGTGCTGGGAGAGGAAGCGTGAAGGAGTTCCTAAGAGCATACTCATGTAAGCATAGCTAGAACTGAATGAAAATCATAATTCTAACCTGATTGTCGTCAACATGGTCATTTCAAGAGCTACTGGAAATGCATCTTCCTCGATTCCCACACAACATGGCCATACTGGGAAAGCTGTACTAATTGAAAGCCTGACTATAAATGTGTCTTTTAAGAAAATCATAATGGATATCCCTTCTGCCGACCTAATTTGTGTTAATCCAGAATTGGAGCTGTGACTCTGTGGCTTCAAGTCAGTTCAGCTTCTCTTCTGCAGTTGAACTGAGTAAGGGCTAATTTCACATGGGTGGGAATTCCTGGCTTACCCTGTCTTCCAGGGTTTCTTCCCCTTCTGCAAGTGGTAAGTGAGCAAAGCACCCTAGTTGCCCCCTCACAACGACCAGGTTTGTATTCTTGCTGCAAAAACAAACATAATGAGATAATGTCAAGGATGGGCAAGTTACAGTCTAGAACCAATTTTTCTCTCTGCCATTAGTCAGCTGAAGGGAGCGGTGGTTGGTTCATGGGGAATTCTGAGCATTTTAAGAATGACAAGTGGTAAAAAAAAAAGGTTTCTGAGGATTTGAAGGGATGAAACCAGTGGCTGGGTGGAAATCTGCTTCTAAGGACTGGTAGCAACATTGAAAGCATGCAATTTTTAAAAAAAGTTTTAAGTGTTATTATATCAGTAGATTTATAGAAGAACATCTTGCACAATGCTTTCAGAAGGCTATATTACATATGATATACATTATTTGCTTTTTTATCTAAACTATTGTGCAAAATCCAGATTATGTTGAAATATTGCATGGGGTCTTGCCAGCCCTTCAGCACTGGGCAAACAAAAATGAAACCCTCTTGGTTCTTTGTCAATCTGTTGCACATATTCTTTTCCATTCCCATTCAACATTACTTATAAGTCTGGACCTGAGAGGGCTTCATTTTTGTTTGCCAAGTGCTGCCCAGAAGTCCGATCTCTTCTGGCTTTGCACTGATTTATTTGAAACAGGAAGAAAGCAGTTTTTGAAGCTCTGTTGCTCTGCAGAGTTTGTGGACAGTATGTTTGATGGGAATTTTTAGCTCATCCTACTTCCTAGTGTAGGAGAACCTAACAATAGTTACTCATGATTTTGCCACTACCTGGTTGGACTATTGCAATATACTCTACAATGGGGATGCCTTTGAAGATCACAGGAAAGTTTTAGTTGGTCCAGAATGCAGTGATGTGTGTGCTAAATGGCTCCTGCTGTTGGAAGCAACACCCATGCTTTGGGCTTTGCACCGGCTTCCTAAAGTCTTCTGGGTGCAATTTAAAGTACCAGTTTTGACTTATAATGCCTTTTATGGCTTGGCACTTAGCCAGTTCCAGGACTGCATATTTTAACAGGAATCAGCCCAACCAGTAAGGCCATTTGAGGACAAACAGTTAATAGTTCCCCACTTCCAGGAAATAAAAGGAGCCAAAGCTAGGAGGTATTACTTTTCAGGAGTAGCATTAGCTATCCAGACAGCCTTCCAATGGAAATTGAATTGGCTCCCTCCCCGATTTCAAACTGAGCTCCTTTGTAGACAATTTACAGCTTAGAACAGGCCATCAGTACATACACATATGTACATGTTTGATTTTCTTTGTGCCTTTATGGATTTCAGAAATTTTAGTTTTACCATGAAGATTATCCATCTCTTGTGAACCGTGATGCACACCAGTTAATACAGCAGTTAATTCCATTTGGCCCTAACAATTTTTGTTGATAGATTCCCAGAAGACTCACAACCAATAACAATGAAAATTTCAAAACTGACAGTGTTGTTTTTTTTTGTCATTAGATTTTGAGAGTTAAATAGCGAAACCATTAGACCATTATTTCAGAGAACTGTTCTCATCCATCTATCTGTGAATATTCTAAGTGGCCTAAAGGCATCTTATAAATCTACTATAATTTTGTTTTGTATTAACTCAGTTATACTGGATATTTGGAAAATATAGCTGGATCTTACAAATGAAGTCTTCATCATTTTTTAGATGCAGCTTACTGTATTTTATGTACAGCTCTGAACAGATTAAGGTTACTAAAAGAACATGAATGCAACAGTTGTTCCAGCTGAATTCACACAAAGCTATCCACTATGGCCAGCTGGTGCTGGTCTTATTTATATAAGACATTTGCACATCTCTCCACTTGCATACATGCATGGTTCATCTACAGAAGTTCACAGGGGATGCTTTTGTACCAGATAAGAACACTTTTGAACACCTCAGCATTTTTTTACTTGCAATTTTGGGGATCAAAATAATTAACTGAAATACTAGATGAATACAGCTGTGTCCAATATATAATGCTTTTCTTTATTTGGAAAAATGCTGGCATAACAAGAAAATGTTAAAGACTTAGAACTATGTTTGTAGCATTTATTTATTTGGAGAAGAGAGAGAGATCCTTGATTAGAAAATAGGAGGGTAGTATTTCTAAAGCTGGAGAAGGTGATCTAGTTAGCAAAATATGAATATATGGTTTCAACATTGTGCTTATAACATTTTCTTCTAAAATGAGTTTCTTAAGTCTTCTACATCCATTTGGTCCATGAAGATAAAGTAGAAGGGTAAAATTCCATCACAAACTGTTATTATAAAAACTGTAGATAGGATACTTCAGCAATTTAAGAAAATATTCTGAAATTGGTTTTTTCGCCTCAACAGCTCAAAATGTTAAGACAGTCCGGACGCTGAAACAGAAAAATAATATAAATGTGAGTTTTGTTCTTAATATTAAAGAATACTGCTAGCATTTCACTATCTCCTGTGATGATCCAGCCTGTTCTAGGGAGGAGGAGCGTGCTTCTCTTGTGCAATTAACAGTAGCTATGTACAATCATTCTGGGAATGAGATGGGCAGCTCTTGAGCTTCCATGGAAATGTAATTTCCTCAGATATCTCCACGTGTTTTCTGTTCTTACTAATCACAGAAGCACGGAAAGAAAGATCTGGTAAAATCTGCCTTTTATCAGATCACACTATTTGTTCATCTAGCCTTTGTCCATCCTTTCTTTGACAGATTTTCTTCATGGTGTTAGTGTTTCTCATCATTTGCGTCCTGAACTTTTTTAAAAAAATTTCAAGATTAAGTCTAGAACTTCTATGTGCAAATCTCATCCCTGAATATACCATAAGTGTGTCCTGTGCCTGACTGCCTGACCAGTATTTTTTCCTTTCCCCAATTCACAGAATTTCCGCCCTTGCAGAGGGGAGAGATTGCTTGAAGAAGTTCTCTCTTCCTAAACTGCTTTTCTTCCCAGCTCAGCACTTCCCTAAAAGGTGCTAAACTCAAGTTAAGGAGAGCTCAGCTCTGTGACCTTAATTAGTTAATTAGCACCCTCCAGCCAGCTTGCCCTGCTATCTGAAATGGGCAAACCCTAATCAGTTTCACCCAAAAGGCTTTCTTTTGCCTCCTAAGCAGGCACATGTGAGCCCGCTAAGCAAACAGCTGGCACTAAGGTATTCCTTTTAATGTGTACAGGTAGTCCTTGGTTAGACGGTAACTGGGATCAGAATTTCTGTTGCTAAGCGATGCAATGGTAAAGTGGGATATCACATGACTGCATCACTTAGCAATGGCAATCCCAGCAGTCTCAGTTGCTTTGGTTAAGCAAGGTTTATAGCCGTTAAGTGAGGACCTCCTTGCAATTTCCTGCCGGCTTCCAACCACTAAAGTCAGTGGGAAGCTGAAAGGAAGTATGGGAGGGTGCACGAAGTGCTGTTGTGGCATGGCAAAGCACGGCAGGGCTTGGGATGGCTGCTGCTGGGTGGGGGAGGATGAGCGAGGGTGCGTGAGGGGCCAGCGTGGCACAGCACGAGTGTAGCTGGGTGAAAGTGGCTGCTGCCAGGTGCAGGAGACTTACCAGAGTTACTTGTGACTTTCCTGGCTGGCTTCCCCATTGAATTTGCTTGTGGGAAGCTGGCAGAGAAGGTCACAAGTGGCGATCATGTAACCGTGGGACACTGCAACCATCATAAGTGCAAGCCAGTTGCCAAGTGCCCAGATCATGTGACCGTGGGAGTGCTGGGACTTCCAGAAGTTCAAGGGCTGCTTGTAAGTACCACTTGTTCAGCACCATTATACTGTTGAATGGTTGCTGAATGAGTGGTTGTTAACAAGGACTACCTGTATTCACCACTGTGTGCCTGCTTACTCTCTTGTAATCTGTTCCTCTTCAAATGCAAACATTAATTTCCTCTTGCTAGTTTCCTAGAACTGAGGTGAGGATTCCAAAGGGTGGGGGAGTGGGGAAATAGGGCTATAAGTTTTACCCCTTTTCCCCAGCTTCCTCATGCATTATGTTCTGGAAACCTTCCCACTGTTTGGGCTCACCTGGCTATTTGGGGTTGTATTCTTCTGATGCTGTAAGAATGTTCAGGGATGATTTCTTAATAAACCTTTTTCAAGATTTATTACTGTCCTGGCATCTCCCTTAATATTCTTATTCTTTGGTATCCATCCTGCAATAAGTATGAGTAATTGCAGAGAGAATGGCCTTGAGGGACACAAGGAAGAGCTGTTGCCAAGGCAATGATCAGATAAAAGAAATCTGAGTTTGGGGCAGGAATGTAACCTACGTAAATGTCTTAGACTAGTCCCTCCCTGGTTCACACAAATATAAAAGGAAGGAGTGGGAAACACATTCAGATTTGCAAGATTCTATCGCTATAATTTTACAATAGAAGCAATATTGTCCTACATGACTTTGGTTTCCTAATCTGGTCTATTTTGAAGGGCTGACAGTAATAAATAACAAAAATAGGACATGAGAGACAGAAGAACATTTTTCACCTTTTTCCTGATCGGAGCAGATCCAGCCCTTCATTGATTTTGTCAAAAGGTAATGTATGAGTGATTAATGGATCCAAAATGAATTTCTTCCTCATGAAGTCTGAAACCAATTTCGGGACAGAGTCTTTGCTCTTCCACCCTGAAGGAAAATCGATTAGAAAGCATTATTGAAAGAAGGCCAGTAAAAATTGTGAAAAGACAGGAGAGTTTAATCTTTCTGCAGATTTAAATTAATGTAAAATGGAATCCATTCTAAGTCACTTCTTCCTAGATTGTACAGTAGTTTTCATTGTCATGGATAAGGCATCTACCTTGGAAGTGGAGATAGTCACTGAAGGGAGAAACTTTGCTGTATATATATTTTTTGTCCTTTCAAAAATGTGATTGGGCTCAGACATCACACTAAGTGAGAGATGGACTTTTTATAGCCAGAAGCTGCACTTTGGGGTGCAGACAAGAGTACAACTGTTGGAGTGATGTTGCAAAGTAGGTGGAATACCTCATATATTTAGTTGGGGCTGGGATTTTCTCTCCCTCCTCAACCTTGAGAAGAAGTTATTTGGCTTATTTTAATTGTATTAAACCCTCTTAGAGTTCATTCAATAGCTGTTTTAACTCCCTAATGTCATATTATAGGATTGCTGTCTCTTTTGGTGTATTTCTGATTTCTAAACAGTAGAAAACCCATGCTATTTATTACCTTTGTGGCTAAAGGGGGCATGGGGAGCTGAAACCAACATACTTGGGGGCTATATGTAGTCCACCTCTGCAAATGCCAGTTTGTTTAAGCTGTACCTGGCACATTCATCGCATATGGTAAACCATTAAAAATATGAATCAGTTATGAGATGGATTGTTTTGATAGCTTTGGTTTCTGACAATTTTTGTAAGTTTTTGTACTGGGTTCCATCTTGTTTGTTTTGTATTACTGTATGTTTTTATTGTTCATTATCTTGTGAGCTGCCCAGGTTGGTTTGGAGTTGGGCAGCACCAAAGTCAAAATAAATAAATATCTGTAGTTCCTTGAATTTCAGTTACACCATATTATTTGGAAACATATCCACAGAAATCATTAATATCCCCAAATACACAATGAAAATAATTATCATGGGGGAATACTCTCATATAATCATAGAATGGGGGAATACTCTCATATAATAAATTGCATACAAGGTGGTAATTTTTTTGCACTTGTTATTCATACTTTCTACCGTACCTCCAAAGATACATCCTTTCCAGGTGCGGCCTGTGAAAAGCATCATTGGATCGTAAGTGATCTTACATGCAGCTGGGGGCACCCCCACAATGACGCTGGTCCCCATATTCTCATGGCAGGCAGCGAGGGCAGCCATCTGAGAGCAAACAAAGCAAAGACACACCCGTTATCTATTATTTATATTTTTACAATTACATGTTGCTCTTCAACATCCTCAGCTTTTCATAAAGGTTACAACTAAATGAAGGATAGAGGAAGTATTTCTAGGTAACCGCAGTCTCATTTCTCCCCTTTTGTTCGTTTTACTGAAAAAAAAAAATCAGGTGGCATTGTACATGCATTACTTAAAACAATGATTCAGAATTATAAAGCTAATCATAGTCCAATGATAAGTAGATACATTTAAGAGTTTAAATCCTCAGCCAAGCACAGAGGTAGGCAGAGTCGCAGAAGAGGTACAGGATGAATCAATCTTCTCAGAACTCTTGGCAGTGCTGTTGAAGCACTGGAGATCCCCTTTTGTTCGTTTTACTGAAAAAAAAAAATCAGGTGGCATTGTACATGCATTACTTAAAACAATGATTCAAAATTATAAAGCTAATCATAGTCCAATGATAAGTAGATACATTTAAGAGTTTAAATCCTCAGCCAAGCACAGAGGTAGGCAGAGTCGCAGAAGAGGTACAGGATGAATCAATCTTCTCAGAACTCTTGGCAGTGCTGTTGAAGCACTGGAGATCCTGGTGTAAGCCACCCTTTTCCCCTAGACTCCTATTGGCGCTTCTGTTGTATTGGGGAGGAAATGGTTCCCAACCTAAGCTATATAGTAGGGAGAAGGTTTACATAAAGTTGGCTTAATCCTGTCATTGTCTCTATGGTAAGAGGCATCTCAGACTTTCACTCTTTGGTGAGATGAACATAAGGAATGTGTCTTATTTTTATTTATTAAAATCATTTACATCATCCACTCCTTATTTTAAAAATCTTGAAACAGTCTACAATGATGATAAAAACAGGATAAAAACAAGACAAAAATAAGCTACTAAAATATATACTGGATGCAGAAAAACAACACATAATATCAGTTTTTTAAATGGTTCCCAAAATCCTTGGTCAGAAATTGCTTTATTTTCTCATGCAGTCAAGTGACAAACATAACCTTCCATTCCTAATCACAGGGACACCAAAAGGAGGAAATGGGCATTGTGATTTCATAATGCAAGCCCTGCTTTTTCACACTTCTGCTGCAACATTGCACGCTAGTATGAAAGGGCTGGCATTTTCAATGCATTGCATATTTGCACACTTGTCTTCCCTGAGACACTTATGTCACAAGAGAGAACTCTTTGAAACATAAATATGTAGATATACAGAATCAAAGCAGAATGTTTTCTTTTTTATTAATTACAAAATCTCCATCATATTATGGTTGATTTGGGGAGGCCCAGCATTTTATGTCTATAGAGGAATTATGGTTTGCTCTTCTAGATTTAGCTTACCATGTGAGCCCAGCCTATAAGATCAACCAGTCTATGTTCAGGTGCTTCTAATGCAATCTTCTCAGGAATGAACTGGCTTCTAGAGTTTTTAAGTCTGATATACTAATTAGGCCATTGGCTAACCATACTCTGCTCTGGCAGTACATTCTTCCTCCATCAGACATTTCCACTCCTTTTCTTCCCTGTTATAGCATTCCCAGGGATAATAAGAAACAGTATTGAAAATAGAGATGTCAATATCATAATGATGTGACAACATCTGAAATACTGTGTGTGGTTCTGATCAAAAAAGATATAGTGGAGCTAGAGAAGGTTCAGAGGAAGGCAACTAAGATGATCCAAGAGTTGGAGCAGCTTCCCTATGAGGAAGGGTTGTGATATTTAGGGTTTTTTTAGTCTACAGAGGAGGCAAAGGACAGGGAGCATGATTGAAGTGTACACAATTTATGTGGATAAAATGGACAAGAAGAAGCTGTTTTCCCCTTCCCAAAACATTCAAACCAGAGATCATCCTGTGAAACTGAATCTTGGAAGAATCAGGATAGACAAAAGGAAATTTTTCTACACAATGCATAATTCAATTTGTAATTCATTCCATCCAGTATCCAGGGCCATACTGGCTGCTCTGGCTAATTTCTGGCTGGAACCCATACATGATGTTGGTTATGGGGTGCTGGAGCTAACAATTGATTGCTGCTGTTTGTTGCTGTACTATAGTTGGAGAGCAGCAATATACTGAATTTTGACAGTGTGTTCCTTCAGGGAATTCAAGGTGATATGCACGATTGTCCTCCACAATCTTCAATCCAATGTTAACTTTACAACAACACTTGATAATTGATTAGGCTGGGATTAGCCCAAGATCATGTATTTGAACTTGTAATCATTATGCAACATTAGATCTCTGAGACAGAAAATGCTCTACAATAATATAGAGGAAGTATTACACATAAGAGAGTATAATTTGCCAGACCCAACCTCTGGCAGAAGATACTTAATATCCAATAGGACTACGCAATGGGCTATTTTAATTTTGTCTTATCTTCATTATTTATTATGACAGTTTCCAAAGTTACATACCATGGTTTCAGTGCGCCCAATCACTTCAAAGGAATAGTCTACTCCACCCTCAGTCAAGTCAAAGAGCACTTCATTGATGGGCTTCTTGAAATCCAAGGGGTTGATACATTCTGTGGCTCCCATTTCTTTAGCCTTGGGGAATTTATCCTTGTTGATGTCAACTCCAATGATTCGGGAAGCTCCAGCTGCCTTACAACCCATGACTACTGAGAGGCCAACTCCACCCAAGCCAAAGACAGCACAGATAGAACCAGGCTCTACCTGCAAAATCAAAGTCAATACACATTGCATGGTTCTTTTTTTTTTTATATCTTAATAAGATTTATAGAAAAAATAGGGAAAAAATACAAAATATAGAAAGGAAAAGAAAAGAGATACATAAAAAACTATGACATGGTTCTGCTTTTTCAAGATGGAGGATCCATGCAGGAGACAAATTATCCTGATGTAGGAAAAAAAACTTATAAGTACTCAGCTGACTACTGAAAACAGGATTTGGAGTTTATCTTGCCTGAGGATTATCTTCCACCTGCTTGGTTCATTCTCTTGGCTGATGGTTGTCCAGATATAACACCATTTAAAGAGCTGCAGCATATGTAATATGAGCCTTCTAATATATAGTACAATATTTTTGAAATTTTGAGTCATGAGCTCTGGCACTCCACACCTATTCCATCTGCCAATTGTTTCCAAAGTACTTTAAATCCAACCTGCAATTTTCCTACTTTCACCTCACCATCCATGGAACCCAAATGCATCTAGCATAGCATTCAGCTTGTAGATAGCACCTCCAGCCAAGAATTGCTCAGCCAAGTTAGCCAATAGCTGTACTTTAAGAATGCCCAGCAATTATCACTCACCTGTATTCTAGTTTACTATCAGCATGAGGTAAAATTGTTGCACAGTAAGGTGCTTTAATGTCTCAAGGGAATCTCTTCAATGTCTTTGGTTGCCTCACCACCCTGGCACCCATAGTTTTCACCCAGACTATAACCTGCCATGTTGCAGCCATGAAATGACCACTGGTCTGCAATACATTAAGCCCCAATATTTTAGCTTTTTGTTAAAACACACCTTTTTAGGATGGCCTTTCACTGCCAAGCTAACTTCTGTTAATATTTCTCTGTTTAATCTTTTGTTTAGCCTGTGTGTAATGCTGTTTTAATATATAATTCTTGTACACTGCATTGGCAATTTTATAACGAAAAGCAGCCTAAACTATTTTAAGGACGCTACCATAAAGTGGCAATGTTCAAACTTTGCTGCTTGGGAGGTACGTTTTGCTATGCTTTTGTTTTCTGCTGCTGCTTTAATGCTACAGCTGCAATTCTTTGTTTCCACTGACTTGTGGCTAGAGTTAGCATAAACAGAGACTTCTTCTATATGACCCCAACTTTTTTTTTTTTTTTTGCTTTCAACAGGTTTTACAAGGGCTTTCCCATGGCAGCAAAAACCCTCTACTACAGTGTTTCTCAACCTTGGCATCTTTAAGATGTGTGGACTTCGACCCCCCCGATTTCCCCCCCCCCCCCCGTCGTGTTGGTAGTGCTTGTGCCGTGAAATACACCACCCCTAAACGTTCACACTGTGGAGACACACCAT